GGAGCACCATCATGCATAAACCACAGCCTTTGTCTAATGCCCAGGGGAATATCTTCTAGGAGTTCATGAAGATTATTTTGCAAAAAATGCAAGTAAGATATACCTGACAGCGTAGGTGGCAAAAAGAAAGGGCCAATGATGTTGTCGCTTAGAAGACCACACCAGACATTTAAAGAAAAGGTATGTTGGTAATGTCCAACAGTAATCATATGAGGGTTTTCTTCAGCCCAAGTATGGGTATTTTGAAAATTAAGAATCCTGTTTCTTGTAAAGCAAGATTCATCAGTAATCAAAATGCAGTTCAGAAACTTAGAATCTCGTGGGAATGGTTGAATTAACCACTGGGAGAAATTTCTGCACTTGTTATAATCTTGTGTTAACAAATCTTGCCTACTTGATATGTGAAATGGATATAATTTTTGTTCGCGTAAAGTTCGCCATAAGCTGGTAGAGGAAACATTGAAACGACATGACAATCTTCTGGTACTAGTAGTAGGAGATAACTGAACAGCATCGAGTATTTCTTCTTCAACATTTGCAGTTTGTCGAAATCTTTGTCGACCGGCGTTTACTCGTATAGGTTTTAGCGTGCCATTATCCCTAAGGGTTCTTTCAATAGCCTCAAACATTTTACGATTTAGTATTCTTTGGTTAGAAAATATTTCATGATAAGACTAGGAAATTCTTCGAACAGCAGCAGCAACGTTCCTATGTATCTCGCCATAAGTTAAAAGCATGTCTGTTTGTTCTGCAAAAGTGAATAAATTTATGGAGTCTCCTATAATAATCATAAATTGAACTGTGTTACAGTATTCACTCACACTAAAATACACAGAACTAGACAAACAGATGAGCAACTACTGTCATTGCTTATCATTCATTTGTTTATCAGGTGATTAAAACCTGTTATTTAGTATTAAACAGGTTAAACTTTGTGCAGTCAGTCTTAATGTAGTAAATAAATAATAAATATTTAACCTTTGATATCTGTTTAATAAATGAGTTTGAGATATATGTTAATATGAACTTTTTTGTTTATTTTGTGTTAGTGAACATATACCTAAAATAGTGTCGTGCAATTATGAAACACCCTGTACTGAAGCAATCAATGTTGACACTGATTTTGACAGCAAGAGAATGATGATTTAAAAAAATAAAAGAAGGAAAATAGAAAAAGAAGATTATAATAAGCTTTTCTGAAAGTTATATATTTTAATTCTTTCAGCTAAGAAGCACAACTATCTTTTCTGAATGGTATCAAAGCTTAGTAAAAGTAAGACCTATAAGTAATCAAAATAATACCCTCTTAAAAAAAAAAAAATAAATAAATAAATTATAAGTCTCATCTGAGAAGCTGTATGTTTCAATGTAAATTATAGTAGTGATTACACAATTTATTTTGGATATTTTTTTTTTAATATTGAAAGGACAAATGCACAAGTCGTTTATTTCCAAAGAGAACCCTAATATTTTTTTTTTTGGAATCCGAGGTAAGTATAGATTTCTATGTAAAAACAACAAATGAATCTGATGATGAAACGTTTTTAAATAAACGAACCTAAATATTAAAAAATAAAAAGTGGTATGAAAATAAGTTTGTTTTGAAAACTAGCCTTTTTATTTTCTCATGGAATGTAATAATGATATTTGCATTAAAACAAAAAAAATCTGGTGCGTGCAACACATAACTTTCACTTACCGCTCATTTTTGAGTTATGCCATTTTAGTGATATTTCTAGTTGGAAAAGTTATATCTATACAGACAATGAGTAAGTTGATTCCAGAGTAGATGATTGCAGTGTTGAAATATAGAACTGTGAACGGTATAAATTTTGCAACTAGAAACATCACTAAAATTAATAATAAACAATGTTGAAATTGGAGTTAGTCATTCTGAGAGATTTGAATGTATTGTATATCTAAATATTTAACCTATAAATGATTATGGATTGTAGGACTATTAGTTATTAAACTGTTATTTTTCATTGTAAAGTTTACTAAAATGAAATTATGAGATTTTCAATGCCTGCCTTGGATAGGTCAAAAGTTGTCACACTAATTGTAAGTGCCTGGATAATGTTTGGATTTCACAAAGGGAAAATTCATCAAATTATTCACTAATTTAATTTTCTAATAGGTTACTTGATGATTTTTTGGAATAAACGGCCAAAAGATACCTACTTATTTAAATATATCATATCTAGAGTTATTTAACTACAGTAAATGTATTTAAGGTTATAAACATATCCATGAAATATTTTTATATTTCACTACTTCTTTCACACAAGTACAATGAAATAGTATTTTAAACAATAGCATTGACTTGATTCTGTGGACTTTAAATACTTTTTTCTCCAACTTAGAAAAAAAAATTAAGTTTACATTTAGTAAGAAAATTTCATTTAATTTCCTTGGAAACATGTGATTTATATTAAATAATGTTAGTTTTACTGAAATTGTTATTTATATTTTTTTGTCACTCTTAATTACCTTCTAGAGCTTCCTTTATTTTATATTATTTTTTCTAAAATTCTCCGCTTTCCAACGATATGCAATACGTATACCTTCTGAGTATTATTTCCAGTATATAAACATTGGGCATTTGAGCCCTGTAAAATGACATCAATGGGGATAAGACCTCAATGATATTAAATACCACTTAATTATACAATGATACACCGAGTTTAATCAAATCGTTGGTGTCGTTTTTAAGGGAAAAGTTGCTGTCACATCTCAGGCATACGTCTTTGACTTGAGTTAGTTTTTGGCTTAATTTCGTCATAATTAGCCTTATATTAAAGCTAAATAGTTAGAGAATAATAAAACATGAAAAAATATTAAATAATAAACGGCCTTGTTATAATAAACACCAGTGAACTGAAGTATTTCAATTCGTTCAAACTAAAGTTGAAAATCAAGCGTCGTTTGTAAATAAACTGCCAACAATAACGAAAAACGTTCCGATATAAAACATCTGGGGAATACATTTTTGTTTCTAAAACACTAATTACTTTTAAGATACTTGAAGCAGTTACTGAGAAACTATACTTAATCGGCGGAAAAGCGGCACTGGTATTAGATTCCTCTGCCGCATCAGAATGATATAATGATTGTATTAACGATCAAATATTGATACAATAATTGAAGTGTCAAATCTTAAATATGTAATATCAGTTTCGTACGATTTTTCACTCACACACACGCACGCAGACCATTTTGCGGAACTTGGTTATTTGGACTCAAGGGATCTCAAAACATGTATTCCTGTTGAAAACTCGGATTCAAAAATTTTCACTATCGTAGTACTTTCCTTTACTATATATTCCATATATACTTAAGTGAAAGTAAAAAATTCATCAAAAGCTTTTTTAACTGTTTTATTAGAATGAAAATGAAAATTTGGTTTATTTTAAATAATTAACCATTTCTCATTGTTAGGAGTTATGAAAAAAGGCTAAATATAACTTTTGAAAGAATTTGATAATTGAATAAAGGATAAGAAAAGAAATATGCTTATCAAAATCGAAAATGAATCTCCGGAAATACTATTCAGAAGGTATAAGTATTATATATCAGAAAGCAGAGAATTTCAGAAAAAAACAATATCTAATATAGAAAGACGCAGAAAGTAATGGAGTGCGACAAAAAAGTATAAATAATAATTTGTGAAAACTAATATTATTTAACGGAAATAACATGTTTTCAAGGAAATCAAATGAAATTTAATAACTAAATGTAAACTTTAAAAATCTTTTTTAAGTTTGAAAAATTATTTAAAATCCACCTAAATCAAGGCAATGACATTGCTTAAAAAACTTATTCATTATACTTGTGTGAAAGAAGAAGTGAGATATAAAAACATTTCATGGGTGTATAAAATATATGTTTATAACCTTAAATACATTTACTGTAGTTTAATAATTTTAGATCTGATGTTATATTTAAATAATTAGGTATCAACATCTGTTTGAATAATTTGATGAATTTTCCCTTTGTGATATCCCAACAGTATCCACTTACAAGTAGTGTGACAACGTTTGACCTGTCTATGACAGACAATGCAAATCTCTTAAATTTCATTTTAGTAAACTTTGCAAATGGAAAATAACAGTTTAATAACTAATAGTTGTACAATCGATAATCAACCAGTGATATAATAAATAAAATTTTTGTTATTTTAATGATATTAATGATTTGTTAGCTGTAAGCTTTAAGCTTTATCTGTATTAAAAATTTTTATAATAGCTCAACATGGCCAGAAAATCATTTTTATTCATAGTTGAGCAGTAAGTGAAAATTGTGTGTTACATGCACCAGATTTTTTTAAATTGAATAATTAATAACTTCAGATTGAAACCTGAAATAAAAAAATGGTTAAATATGAAATATTTTATATTGACCAATGAAAGATTTCGATAATTATCTAAAAGAGAAGTAACCTAATATAAGTAGTTATTATTAGAGAACAGATGAAACCCGAGCTTTGCCAAAGGTTAGAAGAGGTTTCTATACTTAAGCATGAGCGGTTTTCATAAATTATAGCATTGATGTCATTTAATATTTAACTATATAGATTAATAAATTTATCCATGCTTAAGTAAATAAAAATACCTACAATGAAATATATATATAGAAATTTAGCAGCCTTCCTTATCAGTGGCACTCATGTCAAAATAAAAATATTTCGTGGCCCTTGATTATCTATTATAATTAAAATATATAATTGTTACAATTTTTTTCCACATCTGTTGATTAAGCTAGATTTTCGTATTTCTTGAACATTATCAAGAATGATGATTGAGGTTCATTATGGAAATAAATGACTTTTGTAATTTATTAACCTTAGATATTTTAAACCAAACCTCGAAATATTTTATCATCTAATTTAAAATTTAAATATCATAATATTCCTATGATTTATGCACACAATAATATTTGAAAAATTTATTTACTAAATTTTTATTTATTTTTCTTTTCCTCCCACGCAATCTTTTACTTACTGGAGAAAAAGCCTCTTCATCCTTGCTGTTTTGCGTCGGTTGCTCCTTCGCAGGAGGTGTTCTGACACCAGTCTTCTTCGAGTTCTCTTGTTTCGATTGCTGCTGAGAAGTATGACTGAGCGTATCAGTTCCGACATCAACACCAACATTGAAGACCTGAGGTCTAATAACAGCAGAACTCAAAGTTTCCTTCTTGCAGTCTGGGGTTTTCACATTTGTTTCCAAGTTAGTCCTATTAGATTCATCATTTACACCAATATTTTGCTGAGGTTTCGAAGCGGTCGGTATGTTATCTGATTTATTTAATTGAGGTTGAGCTGCATTCTTCATAGCTTCGACAACTTCAGTACAGTCTTTTAACAGAACGTAACAGCCATTTTTCCCCTTCATAATATTCTCAACAGCTTTACTAACCTGATTGTCATCAGGAAATGTTTTCCTCCTCTCCAATGAAACTGATTTTGGTTTTAGCTTATTAAGGTTATCATCTAGCAAATCGTCACTGAAATCACAGATTTTTGAAAAATCGACCTTAGCAATATTTTCAGTAGGCAATATTTCCATTCCCATACTAGTACAAAAATTCGAAAAATGTGCACGAAAAATCTGAAGAGAATTTCTAGATTGTTCAATATCAGACTCGAGAAAACCATTAAATTTGCCTTTTATTGGACCGACTTTAGGAGTTTTCAACTTATCCATTTGTCCTGCTTTAATATTCTCTTTATTTTCTTCTCGTATCTTAGGGCTATCCCTAGATGGAGGATCAGTGGTAGAAGGGGAGTTGGTTACATCAACTTCTTCTACTGAATCCATCATTTCTTTTCTTTTCTTGTCCTGCTTGAAAGCCTGCCGAGCTATATTTTTTCTAGCCTGCATTATTTTCCTTATTTCAAAGATATTTCTAGCAATCTTAGGTTTTTTTATAGCTTGCTCGTCATTGGATTGAATGTTTTGGCTTTCCTCAATTGAGGAATTAATTTTCATCAGGATTTTATCAACATCGGACGGTTCCTCAGCTTCACTGACTGGTTCCAGTTTGCGCTCGTTTGCCTTCTGCTGATTTGAAGACTCTCCCGTCCTCTTTTCCTTAGTGGAAGACGAGGAGGAACTTACCTTATATTCACTGTTATTAGATTTTTGGGATCCGTGACCTTTACCATTTCCACCACTGCTATCCCTATCCCATGACCTCCTTGCTTCTTTCAACTTAATTTCGTCATTGCACCGCTCACTTTTTCGTTTCCTGTCTTTTCTTTCGTCGTCATTTTTATTTGATTTGCTATTGGAAGTTTTTTCTTTAGCATTGTCATCAGTTCTTCTGCTTTTATCTCTTGCTTCACTTTTATTATCATCCTTCTTCATCGATGATGAGCTGCTTGATTTATCATATTTTTTTGAATCCTTTTTCTTGTCTTCTCTAACTTTTTCATCAACAGATCTACTTTCTTTATCTTTCTCATTTTTGTAATCCTTTTCTGATTTTCCTCTAGTTTTATCTTTATCCTTCTCATTGCTATCTCTGTCTTTGCTTTCATACTTTTCCTTTTCTCTTTTATCCTTATCTTTGTCTCTTTTACTTTTATCAGATCTATCTTTATCATATTTATCCTTTTCTTTTTCATGTCTATCCTTGTCTTTCTCAGACCTGCTCTTATCTTTTTCATACTTATGGTTTTCTTTGTCATTTCGAGTCTTTTCTTTATCATTTTTGTCTTTATCTTTATACCTGTCCTTATCATTTTTTTTGTCTTTCGCAGATAAATCTTTATTATCAGATTTGTCTTTTTTTTTGTCATTATCTTTTTCTCTACTTCTGTCATTCTTGTCCTTATCCTTATATTTGTCCTTTGAGGAATGATGACGATCATCTTTATGTTTACTGCTTCTATCTTTGTCATCTCTATTAGATTTTTCTTTGTCTTTGTCTTCTTTATAAGTCTTTTCTTTACTTTGCTTAATATCATCCTTCTTATCACTACTAGAACGATGCTTTGAATCACTGGGTCTACTACTCTTAGTATTTTTAGAAGATAATGATTCGCGGTACTTCTTGTCTTTCAGATCATCTGGTTTTTTTGGCTCTTTGTTTTCCGTAACCTTTTCTTCAGTTTTAATATCTACGTCATTGTTTTCAGCAGAAATTTTAACTTCTTTATCAGAGGAAAGTTCTTTACAAGGAGTATCAACTTCACTTTTATCCACACTGTTTTCGCTGGTTCCTACAACTACAGATTTAGATTTGTCTTTCTTAAATTTAGAATTAAAACTCGAACAACTTAGGGAATCTTCAGAAATTGTGCTACTACAGGTGTGTTCTTTAATTATTTTATTTGTAAACATTTTAGTATCTTCGAATGTACTATTTGAAACTGAATCAATTTCCATTAAAGTATCATCTCTATTATCTTTTTGAAGGTTTTGTTCAACTTCTAATGTTTCTGTGTTATTTTGCCCTTCTGGTGAAGGACTTGTAGCAGAATTATGACCCCCAATTTCAGCTTGTTTTATTTTCTCGCTTAAATTTTCAAAATTTTCGAAATGGGGTTCATTTGAATTTTCTTTGACTGAAGCAATACTTTTCGCTGTGTTGGAATCTATATGGTTTTCTTTAAAGCTGTCACCCATATGACTAGAAAGATCAGAAATACCCGATACTTGACTGTCGTGAGATATGTCTAACTTCGAAGAGCTTTCATTGTTATTAGTTTCATCTTTAGTTTCATCATCATCGAAACTGAGATTGTCACTTTCTGGTGAAACTGGATCGAGATCTTTCGGAAGGAGATCTAGCAAAGTCAGCTTATGTCCAGACAGCAGGTTATCTGTAAAAATAAATAACAATTAAATGTATGTATTCAAATTTGTAGGTTAGGACTTCACCTTACTATTAATGATAAAACCACACATTTAATCACTATAGTCCTACTTAATTTGTTTTTTTACATCAACGTTGTAGCCTTTAGGCCAAAGGAAGAAACTTATTTTAATAATTAAAAATCATTATGGACTGAATTGCCCTTGTTAACTCCATTTAACTTGTCAACACTAAAATATTCCTCTTCGTTTAGTGTTGACAAGTTAAATGGAGTTAAAAAGGGCAATTCAGTCCATAATGATTTTTAATTATTAAATTAGGTTTCTTCCCTTGATAATGGCCTAAGGGCTGAAACATTGAAGTAAAAAAAACAACAAATAAAGTAGGACAATAGTGATCAAATATGTGGTTTTATCATTACTATAAATAAAATCATAAAATTTAAAATAATCATTAAAAAAATAAGTAAGCTACTATAACAAAATGTTTACTGAATTAACATATAATGATTTATAATATGCTGTGAAAATGATGAACAGTGGTGTAACCAATTTATAGCCCCAAAAAAAAAATATAATGCCCCTAAATTATGTATATATGAAATATATAGTAGTAATAGAAAGAGTAATGCGATTGACAAAAATTTAGAAATCGAGATTTTAATGGAAATACACTTTTTGAGGTCACTTGACTATTTGTGTGTGCGTCTAAAATAATCTGATAGGCCTTAAATAAATGCTTGATTCCCAAAATTTCTTCCTTTTAAGTACCTTTGATTTTGTTTATTTGAAATAATTAGCCATATACCATTGTTATTAGTAATAAAAATGGATAAATTTAAACTATGAAAGAATTTGATAATCAACTAATGGAGAAAAATGGAAAGATTTATCTATACTGAAAACAAATATTCAAATAAGAGATGTAATTTAGAAGTATAATATACTATTGGAAAGAAAATATATTAGACAATTAATATCAAACACATAAAATTGTTGAAGTTTATGGAGAGAAACAAAAATATATAAACAAAAAATATTATTAAATTTAAAATTGTTTACCATCTGGACACCCCAAACAAATATGGTACAGGACTCTGGAATTTTATAGTAATTGTAGGATTATACTAAAGTTAAAGTAATATTATTAAATTGTGGATTGATGGTTGATTGTAGTGAATAATTGAAGAGACGATTGGTTGGAGTTAATAATATATAATTAAAATTAATACATAAATACAAAAAAAAATTAAAAAATAAGAAGGAGATATGAGGAGTTGGGTTGGCCAGGAGGTGCGGTCAAATAAATACTATCTATTAATAGTATTTTATTGTTAACACCGACATATCGACCCACTTTGAAGGTGACATCAGAGATATAGTGGGTGATAGTATAGTTAAAATATCAAGTATTATATATATAGAAGATTTTTTTTATTTTATTATTTTAATGGAATTTACAACTGTATTACGTAGAGAATACAATAAGTAAATGAGAAATTTGTAACATGGCATGTACAACATGAAGAGAAACTAGGATATAAACTGGTAAAGAGGTTACATTTGATAACTGTAGATTAACAGATAAAGTCATGGTTGATAAATATTCAGGACGCAGTCTTTTTTAAAAATTTTTTTATTTTTGCCAACGTTTCAACCCAAACATGTGGGTCATCTTCAGGGCGTGGTTTGAGCACTGAGGTTGTTCATTTACTCAGTACATGTAGGTGAGGTTGTTCATGTACTCAGTACATTAACAACCTCAGTGCTCAAACCACGCCCTGAACACGACCCACATGTTTGGGTTGAAATGTTAACACCGTGTCATCAGGGCTACAAAAGAAACAAAATATAAAAGATACATAGTGAAAATAAAATAAATGAATTATTAATAGATATTAAATAAGAAACAGCTGTCTGATAAAGAAATAATAAGATGGCATCGGAGATATAGTGGGTGATAGTATAGTTAAAATATCAAGTATTATATATATATAGAAGATTTTTTTTATTTTATTATTTTAATGGAATTTACAACTGTATTACGTAGAGAATACAATAAGTAAATGAGAAATTTGTAACATGGCATGTACAACATGAAGAGAAACTACCCATTGCTAGAACTCAAATTAAAGTTCTATATTAGAAGATCCCGAGGCCATCTTCTTTTCAGACGCCTCGGAGGGTTATCAGGGATCGAGGAGGAAGCAAGGTTTGAAACGAGAGGATTCGGATGGTTCTGCAGTTTGTTATGGAAGGAAAGGTATCTGGATTGGGCCAGATCGGAAACATATGGAACATTAAGGTCTTTATGGATGATTTTATTTGTGACAAAGTAAGGAGCGTTGAGGATTTTACGAAGGATTTTGGATTGTAAGGATTGGATACGAGAGGAATTCGATGGTTTAGTGGAGCCCCAAAGCTCAATTCCGTAAGTCCGAATAGGTCTTATTATTGTCATATATACGAGTCGTTTATAATTGATTGAAAGCTTAGATCGTTTGTCTAGTAAGTGCTGCAGTAGTTATATAGAAGATAAAAACAAAAATAGAAAGTAAGTGTGAATAAAAATAGAAACAAAGGTTAATATAGCGTGTAAGTTAAACGTATACAGATTGTGATGAAAAAGATAAGATATGAGTGGATAACAAACTGGTGAAGGTTACATTTGATAACTGTAGATTAACAGATAAAGAAAATGATGGTTGACGAATAAAGAAATTAAAAAATTAATAAAGTAACATAAGCGATTTAGTTAGTTGTAGTATCATTAGGATAGATTTATTATATATAAAGTACTACAAGAAAAATTAGAAGAGAAATTTAGAATGTAAACAAGGTTGTGATGATGAAGAAAGGCACAGTAAATATAAATGACAATTGACATTCAGTTTTTTGAAAGAGGTAATGGAATAGTAGGTTATATATAAAGAGTATAATATGGTATATAGTGAAAGGATAGGTGCGTTAATAAAGAATCATAATACAAGTCAAACATACCTTGGTGCAGTGCATACAGTGCCATTTATATATACTGTGCCTTTCTTCATCATCACAACCTTGTTTACACTTCTACTTACATTCTAAAATTCTCTTCTAATTTAGTTTAACTTAACCTTTAGTTTCGTTATCGGTTTACCTATATTTATCAAACTACATCTACTAGCTTGTTATCTACTGATGTCTCATTCTTATTTTACGTTTACTAGATCATTACTCATTTTTCAATTTCTTTATTCGTTAACCCTCATTTTCTTTATCTGTTAACCTACAGTTATCAAATGTAACCTCTTTACATTCCAGTTTATATCTACTCATATCTTAACTTTTTTTATCACAATCTGTTTACTTTTAACTTGCACACTATATTCCCCTTTGTTTCTATTTTTATTCACACTTATTTTCTATTTTTGTTTGTATCTTCTATATATTTAATACTTGATATTTTAACTACACTATCACCCACTATATCTCTGATGTCATCTTATTATTTCTTTATCAGACAACTGTTTCTTATTTAATATCCATTAATAATTCATTTATTTTATTTTCACTATGTACTTTTTATATTTTGTAGCCCTGACGAAGACCTACAAAGTGGGTTGAAACAAATAAAATACTATTTTAATAGATAGTATTTATTTGACAGCACCCCTTGACCAACTCCTTCTCATATTATAATTACGGTCAACCATCTCTACATCAAAAATCTGGTGCGTACAACACACAACTTTCACTTACCCCTCTATTTTGAATAGAAATTATTTTCTGCAAATGTTGGGCTATTATAAAATTTTTGAAGTGGGTTTTAAATGGAGTTAAGGCTTACAGATAACAAATCATTAAGACCATAATAATAATAAAAAGTCTATTTATTATATCACCGGTAGGCAATAAAAATCTAGTTTTATAATCCTCATAGCTTCAGTTTCTGAGCCTTTCAGCTGACAGAATTACTAGCTTCAGTCTCCGTGTCTTTCAACTGACAGAATTACTAACTCCAATTTCAACATTTTTGAGTAATGTTATTTTAGTGATATTTCTAGTTGGAAAAGTTATATCTATACAGACAGTGAGTAAGTTGATTCCAGAGTAGATCATTGCAGTGTTGAAATATAGAACTGCGAATAAAGATATAAATTTTGCCACTAGAAACTTCACTAAAATTAATAATGAAGAATGTTGAAATTGAAGTTAGTCATTCTGTAACCGAAAGGCTCATATATGCCTAGAGCGATTTGAAAGTATTGTATATCTAAATATTTAATCTATAAATGATTATGGATTGTAGGACTATTAGTTATTGAACTGTTATATTCCATTGTAAAGTTTACTAAAATCAAATTACGAGATTTTCATTGGAATAAACAGCCAATAGATACCTAATTATCTAAATATAATACCATATCTAGAGTTTTTAAACTACAGTAAATGTATTTAAAGTTATATACATATCCATGAAATACTTTATATTTCACTTCTTCTTTCAAACAAGTACAATAAAATAGTATTTTAAACAATGGTTTTGGCATGATTCGGTGGATTTTAAATACTTCTTTTTCAAACTTTGAAAAAAATTAAAAGTTTACATTTATTAGGAAAATTTCATTGGTAATATGTGTTAGTTTTCTGAAATTATTATTTTTTTTGTCACTCTCCTTTACCTTCTACAACTTTATTTATTTGATATTATTTTAGAAAATTCTCCGCTTTCCAACTATATATTATACGTATATCTTCTGATTGTTATTTTTGGAGATTCATTTTCAACCTGGATTTTTCTTTTTTTCTCCAGTTTCCAATTATCATATTCTTTCAAACTTCATATTTAGCCGACTTTTTATATTTACTGTCAATAAAAGAGAGTTACATTTTCAAAATAAACCATATCAAAGCTACTTTAGAAGAAGACGTAAATGAACATTGGGAATTTGAGCCCTGTAAAATGACATCAATGGGAATAAGACCTCAATGATATTAAATACCACTTAATTATACAATGGTACACTTAGTTTAATCAAAATTGTTAGAGCTATTTTGGGGAAATTGTAAAAATATGTTTCACTGTTCATATAAAGTGGCACTTCCGGTTAGCGATTTTAAGGAAAAAGTTGTGTAACATCTGAGGCATATAAAAACCTTTAATATGCAATTTGACTTTCTTACGACTTTTTGTTTTTGGACTAGACTGCTAACACACACAGACCATTTTGCGAGACTCGGTTATTTGGACTCAGGAGACCTCAAAACATATATTTCTGTTGAAAAAATTCAGATTAAAAAATTTTCACGATCGCAATACTTACCCTTAGTGTATATTTCATATTAGGTAAGTGAAAATAAAAATAAATATACATTTTTACATGTTTTTTTGACTGATAACCCCAAGCAATCTTCTCTTGTAATATTATTAAAGTTTATAAATTTATTTAAAAATTAATTTCTATTGAAAGTAGGGTGCTATTAAGAGTATTATCATTATTCATTAATTAAAAGTAAAACAAAAAATTATGGATACGAATACAGATGAATATAATCATAGTATATAGTTGATCACTTAGCCTTGAAGACGTTTATACTTCACCATATTAAAATAGAAGAAATATCATGTATAATATAAAACAAACACTTTTTTGATTATACCAAGATAAATTACTATTGTATAGGTTATGTTTGAATAGAAAATTTATTTGGAAGAATAAATATAACTCGAAACTATGAGAAATTGACTTTAAAAAAAATTACCATTAATCATGAATGTTATAACACATAATCTTCAGCGATATTTTCGTAAAATGGAGACCGATTTGCAGTTTATCTTCTTACAGAATAAAATTATCTTCAGAAAGAGGTAATACAGCGTCTACATTAATAATTAAAGAGTATGCGCACAACCGAAAGCATACAACTACAAAACAAACATTAAATCAGCAGTAAAAATGAACATTAATTAAATGATAAACATTTTATAAACTAAAACCTAATATCACTACTGAATATATGTAAACTCGTTTACATAACATGAAAAACAGGATTTTTTTTTTATTTACTCTAAGGGACCAAAGGAGAATACTTACTATTTTTTTTTTGTATATAAAATGAAATTTAGTAGATAATTTTAATTTTAGAATAATATTTATCATAAAAAATGATATGAATGAAATATTATTCATTAACACTAACCAAATAAATCATTTCACTATTTAAACACCAATGAATAACCAGTAATTGCTTTTGAAAAAACATTTATAATCCAAATATATCAAATATCAAACTGCAAAAAAAATTTAATGAAGAAATTTTATAACAAATTTGTAATTGTAATGATCACTTAATTTATATTCTGTCTTACATTAATTTGACTGAAACAGAGTCTTTTTTCTAAATAAATGTAATTATTTATGAAATTAAATTATAATGGGTTTTTTTTTTTTTTTTGGTGCCACTTATTACCCCCAAGATTTCTACAACGGTTTTGTAGTTTAGGTGTTAGCTAAGGCATTAAAATTTGAAAATAATCTTTATGGTTTTTTAACAATAGGGTACAAAATGACTATACCATAGAACGAAAAAAAAAAAGAAAAAATTAAATACAATTAAAAATGTCAAAATCATATAAGTTTTTGTGTATTTTTCACGACTATAAGGATGTATATCAAAATAAAATAATAATTCTCAGTTTATCAACTGTACAATGTTAGTGATATTACAAATTATCACCAAAATAGTGGACTGCTCATCCAATAATAGATGTCATGACATAATATTTTGAACATATATTGACCTCGCTTACAAGGTATTTCACCAATTGATGGCATGTAGTTTCATTATATAAATAAAATCAAAATATGAAATATATATAATATATATATATATATATAATATTTTTTGAAGTTATTAGAATCAATATGAAATAAAGACTAGACAGCAATTACAGTTTATAAAATAATCTATTTTTAAGGGGCGGGTATTATATAGATTGTCAAAATTTTAATGTTAGTGCCAATTAACAACCTTTTTATATATCTTTTTCATTAGTATTTTATGATTCTTGTGGGCATAGATCAAAGGAAACAAAATTTTTGGAACATACCATGGTTGTTTTAATATAAGTAATTATATAATAAAAATTGTATTACTTGTTCACAAGTCAACGTAAAGATGAATGTTGGACCGATATCACACAATACATTGAATGACGAAAATAGCCGAGTTTGTCCAATAACACTACTCCGTTATAACATTAATGTTTATGTTAGGTTAGGTTACATATGACTCACTGTTATTCTTTGGTATCGAAATGTTTACCTTAGGTAAGATTTAATTTTAAGAAATAGTAGAGAATAAAATGTTTATCTAGTCACTCTTATTCAACGAAATAAAAATGGCCACTTCTCTAGAATTGATAATAAATAAACTATTTATACACAATAAAAGAACTCATGATCATTTTATATATATTAATTTTTGTTGTTGCAATTTTAAGTCAATAGTGTTTAAACTTTTTATTTATATTCTCAGATTAGTCACTTTACTATTAACTGAATTTATACCTTGGCGATTATAGTTATTTGTAGTGATTGTTTTTAAAAAAACTGAAACAGTACAAGGGCCATGATTATCTTTGATTGGAAAAACATAAATGATTTAAAAACATTTTTTGAAGGAGCTAAACTTTAAACTAATTATTTGTAAATTTCAATCATATTTATTGATGCGAAAATTTATTAAATACATCAAAACAGCGAAATCAGCAAATGCCATAAAACGTCAAAAATTACACTGACTGCTAAAATTACTCAGTGATTTACTTTTTAAAAGTTACTAATGAATTAATTTTCTGAATAAGACCTAAATGTTAGGTATAATTCAGTTAACACTGCCAATTATATCCATTAACAGGAAGCAATGTGGATGTTGGGGATGAAAATTATGTCTTCAAACACTTTCAAGTACACTCAGCTACTTATGTATTTCACTTTCAATGTGATTGATATAATTTTGGTCCACTTGTTATCCAGAGGTGACGCTTGTTAACTAGAACTAATGTTTTCATTCTGTATTTATGTGAATAATATTGTGGAACTTAAAAGATGGATATGTTGAAGAATAACACTTAAAAAAACAAACAACTAATAAACTGAATTTAAAGCGAACACAAGATGAAAAATCAGCTGAATGGTACGAAGTAGCCATAATAGAAAAAAATGATGTCACTATGAAACAGAACTTCAGCTGTAGAAATTACTTACATTACTTATTCATAAATATTAATAACATACTGGATGAAGGTGGGTGTTTAGGTTTCTCAATCCCCAAACAGTCATAGACAACATCTTCCACTTTGGGCATAAAAACTGTAAAGACTTTTGGATTCACTACTTGATCAACAATACGATCTACGCCAACTTCTAAAAATCCCCTGCAAAATAGCATAAACATTAAACAGATTTCATTTACACCATTTCATCAAATAAGATCAATTGACTTACTGTTGAACATGTCTCCTCAGACTTTCTCGCAGCTGAGTTTTGTTCAAGTCTTGCTGCCATGTCTGAGTAGCAAGGAAAGTAGCGACAGTTCCATTTACTCTTTGCTGGAGATTCTGATATGCTGGCTATACAGATCAACAAAACAGAGTAATACTTTGTTTGATAGATAATTGTCACTTCACCAGTTAGCCAAGATATATAAAAATTTCATACATACACTAAATTAATCATATTCTATATTATATTAGTTGTACACATACCTTGGTATCAACATCAGCCAGGCAATCTTTACGAAACTGATCAAAAATACCTTGAGATTTTAATTTGCAAACAATTCGGTCTACTAACTCACCGTCGACCGGAGGGTATTGCGGGAATGTTTCGAATGACATTTCAACAATCGGATAAGTTGACTGTTTAATGTAAACAATCACAACACCGACATTATCATCAAAACCAACTCAGGAGGTTTCCTCATATGATTAGACGTTCGATGTTGATTTACAGTAAACATCAATGCCCTACAAATAATTTATTTCTCTTCCATCTCACCATATTATTAAAAGGGAAATTCTAATAAATTCAGCTCCATAACAACGTATAAATAATAAGTAGTCAACAAATTTAAACATTTATAACTATTTTAAGCTGTAAAGCATCTATATAGTTAAATGTAGTGTGACGTACATATGTTTTTTATTTAAATTATTATGTTTGGAGATCACAAGTACATTAAAAATTACAATAAACTAATATTTCCAATTGAAAGAGACGCCGTAATGTAGTTTTGAACAATTGATGTTAATTTCAGGGTCATATGATCGATTGTTTTTCCGATTCTTTCCAAACTGTACTTCTCCTCTATCGGCCCTGATCCGGGTCAAAAATGTTTAGGCACAGTGTAAAATTTCCACTTAGTATTGTCAAAAAGGTAAGTTTACTACTCTGTTATATTTAACTGCAATTTTGTCATTTTTCAAGTTTTGCTATGGATGACTGTAATTTTAATTGCAATGGATGTACCGGTACAATGGATCAATTAATTCACTTATTCTTACTAATTTATTATTATAACAGTGTAAATTTGTGTTATCAATTTTTTCTTAAATTTCTAATATATATTAGGAATAACAGTAGAACCTATTATTAAGATAATATGATAGTATTTAGGTTAACTTTTACCTCCATATTTCTTTATCTTGCAGTACCCCTTATATGTTGAGAGGCAATATGTTTTTCGTCTTTACCGAACATCAGCACCAGTCTGTAGGAAACAAATTGAGGGCCAAAAAGAGGAATGTCCGAACGAGTGAGTAAAAAAATAATGTATGAATTATAATGTATTTCTATTAGTTACTCAATAACTATTACTTGTTCATCAATTTCAGGAAATCTGGGCGCATATTTTATTATACGTTAGGTGCTGTCATTATTGGAACAGGTGCAGTTGTGGCATATGCAAAACATGATGAAGACTTTCGAGCCTTTCTGAGAGATAATGTACCAGGCTCTGATGAATTTATTTCATTTGTAACAGCTGAAGAAACTTCTCCAATAGATTACCTCCTTCGTGTGATTGCTGATTTGGCTTCTACGTGAGTGTCATTCTAGTTCGTGAAATCATTGTAGGTTATTAGCTACTTTTATACAGATAACAGTCTCAGAAACTTTACAGTCAAATTCATTCTTTTATTTTGAATGCAGTTTTTGTGACAAATGTAAATAAATACTATTTCACAAGTGCTGTGTCTGATTGACAGGTGGATCAAGATTCCATTAATCATACTGTACATGAAATTCTCAAACTTATATTTGTATGCAAGTATACAGAGGTTACTGATTTCTAGACTTATCAGTACTTCTTTAATTGTTGCTCCACTTTGATGGGTGAGCACAAGATCTCGTCCACAAGGGAATAGCCGGGTGTGTCTGAAAGCAGGTTGAGACTGAACCTTTTGGGATGATCCCGATCTTAAATTCAAAGGACCCTTGAAGGTTGTGTAAATGTTTTTAGTTAGTAGAAGTTCAAAATAAGCAATGTAATTGGAGCTAATCGAGGTCCTGATCTTGACAGAATAGAACCAGTCGCAGAAGCCTTGAATCATTATCCAAATAGAGGGAGAATATACTCATGAACACGTTCAGACTTGGCCATTCATTTATAGTGTGATACATTGTGACCACCCATTAAAGTGGAGCAACACTTGTGAAGTATTACAGACTTTCTTTTAGAAATAGTTTCCCATCTTAAGGAGGATAACTGACATTTTTATAAACATTTATATAATGTGAAATGTGAACCAAGTCTTGCATAATGTTCATATTATATTATGCATTGTCTATCAAGCTTATTCATACATTATACAATTGTAGAAAGAAAAATTAGAATAAAAAACTTTTATTGATGATATGTCACTGAAACAAATTTCAAGATAAATATTGTTTCTTATTGGTAATTTCTGTTATTCATTGTCATGGCACTTCCGGGTTTGCTTCATTAGGTGTGATTCCTACCAAGTTCATTTTTTCTCGGGAAATGAATACAATTATTATGTTTCCAACTGAGAAAAATCATGACCCTTTGTAATTTTTCGGACCATTAAACTCAATAACTATAGTTACAAAGTTTTAATTCACTGAAAATTGGTGTTGCTAAAATGAGGAAAGAAATAAAAACTTACAATATAGTAAAGACCAACTTAATAATGCAACAACAAAAATATTGAATGGAATGATCAAAAATTGAAAAAAATAAAATAAAAAGTCCATTTATTTTTATTGATTTATATCTAACTCATTGATCATTAAATCAGTAATCATAATTAAATTAAAGGAGGTGATAAATATAGTTAAGTTTGAATGATGGGATCTGTGGTGGGGCAAGAGCTGGTGCGAAAATCAGTTGATAAAGTTACTTTCTTGTAACCCACTGAGTACTTACTGTACAGTGTGATTAATGTGATCTTGAACCCTCTTTCAACCAGATGTGACACTTGTACTTTTATTTCCTGAAAAGAGGAAATTATTTTTCATGAATTAAATTTTTTAGATGTAAAGCTAATCTAATTTAAGCTAATTTTTCTCTGAAGGTATTTCTGCAAATGATTTATTTAGGAGATATTCACACTTTAAGATTTCCATTGTTCTGAATTGTTTACGTTATTTGAAATAAATAAAACCTATTTATTTGTTCTAACTATTTTAATAATTAAATGTAAACATTAACATTCATATGAATGTTGTTCAAAGTGATTTCCTTGAGCATTAAGACAGGCTCGGAATCTTTCTTCAACAGCAGTAGTGGCCGAACTGCACTGGATATGTGTTATTGTTTCGCATGATTCAAATATCCTTCTTCGTAAGGAATTAAAGTCATTGACCGGACTTAACCCTGAAACACACTGTATAATATCAAATATAAAGATATACTGATATAAAAATTAGATTAAATAATTAGATATGAATGAAAAATTGCATCATGTAAAATAAATTAAAATATATATAAGTATTATGTATGATTGTTATATTGACGTATGTAAGAATCTAAGTGTATATGGAAGATTATGATATGTAGAACATGATTACGATATAATCTCATTTTCATTATTTACTCAAAAATATTTGATTTATCATTTTCATACTATTTGTTATCTCCTTTTTCTCTAGTATTCAGGTTTTATTACTTTTCTTATATTCTTCTTGTTATCTTGTTTTTACTTAGCTCTGATGAAGGCATAATACTTATGACAATACATTGGCAAACGGTCAATAATATCTCTACTATTATAATTATTTTTACATCTTGTTGGTTTCTCTTTCTTTCTCAGTAATTATTTTTTCTGTTGGAAAAATATTGATAAACTTGATTATTTTGTAGGTTAAAACGTGAAGTGATGACCATGTTTGGTCAAGAATCAGGATCGAAAGAAATAGTACCATGTGATGAAAAAAAACTACCTTATGTCCGTAAGTTGATTTACTTATGAATTGAGCCATTATTATATATAACAGCATCATTATAAAATTTTATAGATTTGAAAGTAAAAATGTTTATTGATTATTGTTTATCACTTGATGATGCTATATTTTTTTTTTCTGTTTTCAGCCCCTAAGCCCATATTTAAAAATATTGACATGAAAGGTGATAAACTTGATGAAAAAAGAATATACACGAAATTACCTGATGGAGAGATTGAGATCACACCAGGTATGTATTTCATTAAAATTTATCTAGGATGATTTTTGTTGTTGTTCCTTTTATTGAAATGAAGCATTGGCTTTTCCTACAGTCATGGCATGACTATTTTATGTTATTATTTACTTTATTACAAGTTATTTTAAGTTGGTTACTTGTTTTGTGCCAGTGCCTGAACCTGAAAGATCGAGCTTTGGTGGTGACTCAATAACTCCTAGAGATCTAAAGGAATTAGAAGAAGCTATTAATAATGCCTCAGAATTGGCTGTCAAAACGTACACTGATGCTGTCTGCGCATTGAGAGGTAATATAACGGAAAACTTGTTTAATTGATATATAGAATAGAAAGAATTGGAAACAGACTTTTTGCTATAACTAGATTCCTTAATCTAATCTATCCAAGGAAAAAAAAAATTTTGATTTTGAATTGTACTTTCAGAAAATTAGCACGTTAAAACAAATAAACTCAAACCAGCTATACCAGATTCACATAGCAATATAGATTATGTGTTTTCTTGCGATTACTTTTGTGTATACTTCATTAAAAAAAAAATTGGTTATTGCAGATCTTGCTGAAGATATCTACCAATTGGTTGATAGCTCTATTGAATCTGTCGATCATAGGGTTTGGTCCAAGATTAAGAAGAAGACTCAAGAGAGAGAAAGGTTGATTGCTGAAGCTGATAAGGCACTGAAAACGGCAACGTAAGATTGTTTTTATTTATAAATCTTTAATTTGTTTTTTAGTTAAGTGTGGTATTATATCCACTGAAAAAAAGCTTAATTTTTAATTTGATGTATCATTATAAATGTTTTTACTTAGGTGCCATTGAAATATTTCTTATCTGATTGATGAGTAATTATTTTGTTGTTAACTTTTAACAACTCAGAATTATGTTTAGTTTAAAAAAAAAAATATATATATATAATCTATATGTTGGTGTGCAAAAAATATACTTATTAATAACAGGCTAAAACCTTTTGGAGAGCTTCAAGTGCCAATTCTTGAGAGAAAGTTGTGGGAATGTCATGTTTTGCAGCCATACACTTTACACTACAGTAGGCTTAGGCCACACCCTCCTTCACTATAGCTCGTTCCCGTAGGCACTCTAGTTTTACGTTTTTAGCTAAATATGATTTTTTTTTTTTTTTTTATAATTTTAAAAGAATGCAATCTCAATCTTATGTTTTATCACTTGAACTCTAATGCAGCTAAAATTTACAATTTTTTTACTTTCACTTATGTATATATGTAATTTACAGTAAGGGTAAGTATTGCAATCGAACAAATTTTCGAATCTGAGTTTTCAACGGAAATACACGTTTTGGGATACCCTGAGGCAAAATAACCATGTCCTGAAAAATGGTCTGTGTATATGTGAACACTCTAAACTCGAAAACAATAAGTCCTACGAAACTGATATTACGTATTTAAGATAGGTATATGCCTTGATGTCACTTTACAGGGCTTAAATGCCCAATGTTCATATACGTCTTCCTCTAAAGTTCCTTTAATATGGTTTATTTAAAAAAGTTAATCATTTCGCATTATTCAGAGTTAAGAAAAAATGCTAAATATAACTTTTGAAAGAATTTGATAAGCTAATAAAGGAGAAAAAAAAAAATCAGAAAAACCTGTGTTGCTATACACTGTAAAGCCTAAACGAATGTACTGATTTCAATGAAACTTTGCTAAAGTCATTTTCTTGACACCCTTTAAATTTATCTATATAACATACTTCAACGAAAAGAAGCCGGAAAAAAAGTTACGAGGGATGATAAAATTAAATTCCGAATAACTCAAAAAGTATACACTTTTTTATGGATATTGTGATAAGATGATTCACAGGTATTCCAATTTCCTAAAAAATGAAAGAAGTTTCATCGAAATCAAAGCACTATTAGTAGAGATATCCTGATTTAAATTTTTTTTTTTTTCCTTGCAATTACCCAATTATTAATGTTCAATAAATTATTAAATATGTTTTATGCACTAAAGCTAAAGTTATAATTTTTTTTACTCACTTTATAGGCAGTTAAGAAACTAACGATTTCTGTTAAAAAAAAAAAACTTAATAACTGGAGGGAGAACCATTTACCTGAGATCTTATTCAATATCGAGTGCCCTGGCAGCCATATTTAACATACATTTCTTAAATAAGTTTCTTGACTGTAATACATTTTAGAGGTTTACAATATTTAGCACTAGTTGCACAAATACTCCTGATGTAATTTTAATTATTAGTTAGGAGTGTTAAATATTAATTCATCTTTTAATTTTATGATTTTAATTATTTTTTATTAGAGAAAATTCAAAGAAGTTCCGGGCAATGCTTGATGATTCAGCGTTCCCAGGTGATGAAGATACTAAGAATGCTGTGAAAAGGAGTATTCGACGAAATAGCGAAGCTGTAGCTACTGCTAAAAAAACTTACGATCAAGAGGTAGCAAGAGCCTCTATTACTGAAAAGTATTGGAACAAAGTTTTGGAGGCTAGGAAGAACTTTACGGTAAGTTAAAAAAAATTTATATTAAAAAAGTTTGCACAATATAAGCTGGTGAAGTTAAAAGAATCTCTTTTTTTTACTTCCTCATTCCCGAAGGTAGGGAAGCTTTGTTGTATTCATGTATTCATGCGAGAGGTTAAAAAATTTTTGTTCTCACAATCGAAAATTTCCACTTGCGTTTTGCATTTCAGACATCAAGAATCAAATTTGGTTCGGTGTCTGTCTGTTTACGTATTTGAAGGAAGGTAATAATAAAGAGTTACAGTGCTACAAGAGTTAAAGGTGAGTAAAAAATTAAGAACAACAACGAAATTGAGGCTATATTAGAGAATCATAACATTATTAGCTGTATTAAGGCTAGTAGGCTGAGATGGGTAGGACATGTGGTCAGGATTGAAGATGAACGGAGTCAGAAGCGAAGTACAGAGAAAAGTGGAGAAGAATCACTCAGAAGGCTAAGAGTCACGCTGGGAAGTTAGAAATCGATGTGACTGGCATAACACCTATTGTCATCCAATTTTTATTATTGGATTTTAATAATTTAAATAAATAAAAACCTAAAATATCTTGGGTGATAGTCAGGTTTTTAAGATTTTTATTGCCTACATTTCAACTCAAGCTTGAGTACTTGAATACCTTCAGTACTGGTAACATACCCTGATGATGACCCAGAAGCTTGAGTAGAAATGTTGGCAATAAAAAACTGACGCTTTCCTGACTATCTATCACCCACAATATGTAAAACAGTCGACGAACTTCTTTCAATAACACCCAATATGTAAAACACTTAATTTATGAAAATTTCCTTCTCCACAAATGTATTAACTAAATTATTATTTTTTTATCATGATCGATAAAGTTAGTTTTTCGAATTTTGACTTGTTTTCTCAGTGATGTTCTTTTTGTTAATAATCACAATTCCTCATCATCTTGTAATATTAATTTTTTTTTTGTCAATAAGAAGATACTAAAAATGTCAAAGTTGAATGTTTTTTTAATTTGAGTGTAGGAGTACTGTGTCTTTTTCACTGAATTAACCTGCTCTCCACCATTTCTATAATTATAGTATTTTGAATTATTATCCAAAGCCTCTTTTAAAAGTAATGGTTGCAACCCTAGACTAAATTTATTTGTAATTTAAATTAGTAGTTAAAAGAAAAAAAATTAAGTATCATAATAATCTTTGATACTTAATACATATAAATTATATAATAGAAAATAAAGTATTGTTTAATGGTTGTTTTCTTTTAGGATGAGATAGAGACATTATTTCCTAATGTGAGGATTAACGATAAGAAAGCAAACTTTAATGATGGAGAAATGGACTTATTCTTTCTTTACACCTACCAGATGGTTCTGTTCTATCAAAAAGAGCTGAATAAGCTAGACGTAAGTAAGAAAGTGTATGTAATTTTTGAACTTTTTTTTTTTGAACTAATGAAGAATGGTAATCATTGTGCAATATAAAGATAATCTATCCATATAGGTACATTTAATGAAATAGTGGCATATTGAAATATTCTTCATTATTTTTCAGACGCTAGGTAACTTGAGGTTGGTGCAAGCTTTGGAACAAAGTAAGCTGGGCGATCCTCTTGCTATAGATGCAGCAATTGAGCAAGAGGTGGATAAGGAAAGGCGGAAAATTGGCCTCGAATTTCAGAAAAGAGTACGTATGAGATATATATTTTTTCCTTATTAAACCTTATATCCAAATGGCTTGATAGGCTTAATAATCTTGCAATTTATTGTCCTAAAATCCCTATCCTACCTATCCCCTAAATGGCTTCACATTTTTTTTTTTTTAAATCAAAATCTATAAATCTTCTTTATTGATATTTTGGTTTTCATAACTGTAACTTAGTAATGGTAACCAGTCAAAGCACTAGGTGTGGAAATATGAAAGCAAAATTTGTCCATACATGGCTCTAGTTGTTAATGTAATTACTATTATACCATATCATTGGTAAATTTTGTTTCTTTGGCAATGTAACCTAATGGATGGACAGGCCACAGAAGTATCTGGTCCTATGGTTGATCTATGGTTGTCAGAACAGGTAGTAGATTTAATTATTTATAGCCATGGTGAGGTGGGACATGACCTGTTGAAATTTGACATAACTTTTTTCCAGTTATCTTTTTTTTTTTAAGTGCTAATTATTCTTTTACAGCTTCTGAACATAAAGGTCGATTGTGAAAAGGCTATGCGACTACAGCTGAAACGTCAGGCTGAAGCCCATTCCGATCATCTCTCTGAAGTCGTGGACATGAAGGAGAAGGATATGGAGAGGAAAATGAAGAGAATGTTGGATGAGAAATTGCATGAAGAGAGAATGAAGTTTAAGGAAGAGGTTGCTGCCATGGTGGCCAGGCTGAGAGGCATCGACGATGTTATGAAATGTGAGTACTGTTTGCTTTTGTATTCCACATGACACTTTTATTAATATGGTCTGTTCTGTACTCTAAGGAAGTTTCATGTATCACATTCATTTTTATCTTTTATTTGGGGATAATGCTTTATTAGATTTTTCACTACAGTAATACGTCATTAACTTGAACTCTGTGGGGGATTGCATCCTTCAATTTAATCGAAATTTTATCTAAGATGTACAAGTTTGATTTATCCGGCTGCCTAAAAGTTTTTCTATTCTATTTTTTCAATAATATTGAAACAGAAAGATATAAACATCAATAAAGAAAGAAAGTGATATTATTAGTTCATCACATGCTGTCTAAAAAAAATATTGCTAGATTTAACTTTTTAGCGATGATAAGCGGGAAGTACGGAACAGCCTTGAGGATGGTATTAGTTGACAGTTCTCCATGCCCCTGTGACGGAATACTTTTCATCACCTCTACTCACAACTTTAGCCTTTTTGTTTAGGGGCATTCTTCCAAACTTTTATTTATTTTTTTTGCTCCGACATTATTATGCACCACGGCATCAAAAAGGCCTATTGTGCGTCGTCCTAAACTCAGTTAAACCAGACCAGATGCCTTGGCGAACCTATTGATCCTGACGGGATCAATCAGTTCGCAGTGCTTGGGGTCAGTGATACGGTCACATCCAAAGTGAAAGTATCACAGTCTAGCGAAATTATCACATTTGCAGATAATGTGATATTCCGTTTCATCCTCCAGGCCACATAGCCTGCAGGTGGAGGTTTCACTTTCACCCAGATTAAAAAGGTGCTTATTTAATTGACAGTGACCAGTATACAGTCCTGTCACCCGCCTAATGGTACTCCTGTCCATTAGAAGAAGTGAATTGCTTCTTTTATGGCAGGGCCCTACAAGGAATAATTTAGAATGGATCTGTTTCCTAGTCTGTGCCCACTGTAGCATAAATTTATTGCCAACAATTGTCGTAATATATCTTTTGACAAAGCTAAGGCTTATCCCATAAATAGCTCTGCTGCAATCGGCATCTGTGCAGAGCCTTTCCTATCAAGGTAATCAGCTTCCCAAATGCCCAGATACCCATTCCACTCTCACCTTGTTAGTACTACAAAGAAGATTAAGATTGCCTTTGCATTCATCCACCAACTTTGAGCGACTTGCATAACTATTCAGGTCCCCAATTGCCGCTCGACTATCTGTACATATTGTTATCAATCTATTCACAATGCCCTCCTTAATAAGTGATTGTGCACAGAAATCGATGGCTCAAAACTCGGCTTGAAAGACTGACGTGTATCTACCTGGAGATATGAATATTCCATCGTTAGGTTTAATCCTTTCTCAGATACCAGCCCCTGATACCTGCTCCATTAAGGATCCGTCGGTATAACAGTTAACTCTTATTTTCTATTTAATTTTTATCCCATTCATAAAATATTATAATTAAGCATTGAAATTAGAACATAGATACCTTAATTAAAATTTTAAATTTCAAATTTTTAAAGAAAGTGGCTGATTAGTAGTTGAATGAAGAAATGTTATTAACACATATCTATTTTCATAAGATAATGTTTTTGACGTTAATAATTTTTACAAAGGTGGAATCGTTGTAATCAGCATGATAAGCAAAGCATTAAAATGGAAACTAATCTATATTAAAGTAGAAATTACAATGAACTATGAGGTCACTTAAGATAGTCCTGAGAGAGCCTGTATAAAAAAATCGACATTATTGATGAAAACTTTGAAAGCTTTTTTTTTTTATTGTTTACAACATTTATATTAAAAAAATGAGAGTCTGCCATTCGGATCTTGCTACCTGTAAAAATGGCAGCTGATTTAAAGAATATTAGACATGGGAAATTCATAGTGAAAAATATGGGAAAAGTTTTAATTTTTTAAATTGTGTATATTGGCTTAGATATATATAAAAAACAAAATTACTAACGCAGGCCATCAAATGAAAAAGTTTGAATGAAAAAAAAAAAATTATAGCCAAAAAAATTTTTTTTTTTTTTTCGCCTAAAACTTCTAAACGGTGCATCAAAGCGAAAAAAATTCTTTTAAGATATTAAAGAACGTTTAATAGTACATTGAACGAGTACCTAAACATAATAATTTGGTTAAGTGGTATTGTCGATAACCTTGGTCAATGGGATTTGGGATTTGTTATTTCTTCATGAAATTCGGTTTCGTTTGATACATCGTTTCTCAAAATCCTTCGCTGCTGAAAGGTGGAAAAAAGTCCTACTCTGTATATAATAGACTCTTAACAAGAATAACTCAGTAGAAGAGACACCATACTGTTGAAATATTTAAAATCACATATATCTTCGTTACCAATTTCCAACCATCTCTATTCTCTACCGATTTCGAGTGGAATAAGTGACATTTAAATTTAAATCGTTAAAAAAAACTACATTAAAATCGTTGTTACTCATTGGAAATGGAATTTGATGCTGTACAACTTTTATTATATGAGCTTTTTCTCTTTGAGGACTCATTTCCAAGTTGCTGGGCTATTCATAGCAGTTTGTCTCAGTTTTTGATGAATTTGGTAAAAATCAGTGTTTGTTGATAGAGATTATCGACCTTACGACTTAACCTAATTATTATGTTTAGGTCCTCGTTCAACACACAATTTAATAATCTGATTTCGTAAAGAGAACGTTTTTGCTCTTATGCATCCTTTAGGAATTATAGATACAAACACTGCAAATTATTTCACAATGGTTTATTATTTCCAAACAGTTATACATCTACAGTAACATTACCCATCCTAGTAATAAAGAAATAGAAATAAAAGGTGATTCGAATAATTGGACTGAACTGTTATTTTTTAATCATTAGTAATATGCTAAAAAAATTAGCATTACTTTAGTAACACATTCAAAAATCAAAAACCAAAACAAAGGATATAACCTTTGTAGTATAACATATTAAAAACATCTAGAGACCATATCTTTGCTCCTAATTATCCGATTATAACAATTTTTTTTTCAGTTTTTTAGAAAATTCCGTAAACTTTTAAATAACCATATACAATCTCAACAAGAAAGTGTATACTTTTTGAGTTATTCGGAATCTAATTTTACCATCCCTTGTAACTTTATTTCCAGCTTCTTTTCTTTGAAGTATGTTATATAGATAAATTTAAAGGGCTTCGAGAAGAAGACTTCAGCGAAGTTTCATTGAAATCGGTGCATTCGTTTAGACGCTACAGTCTATAGCAACACAGGTTTTTTCGGTCGCCATCTTGAAAGGCAAAGACGAATATAAATTTCGATGAAGAAGGATCATCCTCGGGTGACCTCTAATTTTTAATCAAAATTTTAAAAAAATCGGTCCAGTAGTTTCGGAGAAAATATGCAGACATGGCCATATGCGGATATAGTTTCTGATTCGTTAAATAAATAAACGGATCAATTAATCCAGTGAAAGAAGTCATTGAGTACCAGATAGTGACTTTGGCTCTGTAAAGTCTGAACATCATGCACATGGTGAAACTATTTTTTATATATAAAAGGATTTTTGTTATTTTTCTGCACTTAATGAGTTATTTTATCGATAAACATGACCAAAATTAACTACTACCTATCTTGAGGTAAAAATTGACCAGAAGTGTACTTAGTGACTTTTTTCAATAAACCGACGATGTACAAGTTAAAAATTAAAAACTTTGCTCATGTTTTTCTAATGTACTTTAACTTAGCCATAATTTTTACAGGTAGCGAGATCCGATTGGCAGACTCTCATTTTTTTAAATATGAATGTTGTAAATTTAAAAAAAAAATGCTTTAAAAGTTTTCATCAAATAATGTCGATTTACGTTTAATAGGTAGACTATGTAATTATATTGAAGTTAAGAAAGCAATACCCTTTTTTTTCTACAGTCTTATTTATTTTAACTTAAGTTCTTGGAGCTTTCAGTGCTCTGTACCTTATTCATCTAAAATAATTATTTTAAATGAATATGATGCAAGGCACCCTAATGCTCCAAGAACCAAAGATAAAATAAAGGAGACTGTAGAAAAAAGGGGTGTTGTTTTCTAACTTTTAATGCAAATTTTTTTTTTTGCATCGACTTTTTGACTAAGAGCCTTGAATTTGATTTCAGACTCAAATTTTCCTAGTCCAAATCCAAATATAATTCCATCTAGAGTACAATTTGACCCCAGTTATCGGTTGAACGCTCATTTTTCTGTAGGTAATTTCATAAAAAAAACTTTAATTCTTACAATTACGATGTATATTTTATTCAATACATATATGAACAAATACTTGTATATGAGTATATTTGATTGTTCTGAACATTTAGGCAAACAATTTTATGTATAACTACAATTGGGTTGCAAGGTATAGAATTTTGTTAGGTCTTTACTTTAAACAGTATAATTTTGTCTTATTAATAAAAAATATTTCTCATTATTTTATTTTGGCTTTTGAATTTTGTCATTTTTGATTTTTTTTTTTCAAACCATTTATAATTTTTTCTAATATGTACTTTTTTGTTTTTTAATCGGACGCTGATTGATAGCTTACCTAGGTGAGTCGTTAGATATTTAATTCACTATGCATCAAAGTGCATGCGATTAGGAAAAGGAAGGAGGATTGTGTATTATTAGTTCATTATCAGTAATATTTATTGATACATTTATTAATACATTCATTTTTATTCTAATTATTCTCTATTAGAAAACTTCTATTATATTTTTTCTTTCCAATTTATTTTATTTAATCCAATTTATATTTTCTGAAATTATTTATTTCTGTATTATGAACCTTCATTCTTACTGACTGCTTTCTGGTATTCTTCTTATTCTGTTTCTGTTTGTTATTGGTATATATTTATTTGTTTGTTGCATGTTTCAAAGATTATTTATTATTAAATTGCAATTAGTACTTAATTTAAAATTTTGTTTTAACGTACAAAAAAAATTTAGCAGAATGGTATGACTAGTCATTCTTTAGCATAAAGGTTCCCGGAGTGTCTTGATAACTGTTAAAATGCTTTGCGTAGGTGCCCTATAAT